AGAATAGCCCAAAATGAGTCGTTATCTGTGATGAGCTCTGGGTAGAAGCACTATGTGGCCCTAATATCAGACTTGATGTACAAAGCACATCCTCCTCCTTTGCCATGGTTTCTGTCACCCCTGAATACATAGTAGTTATCAATGGAAATATCCCCACCTCATATCTAAGGAGTACACCATGTTTCAGCAATCATTATTAGGGACAGCTTGCAAATTAAGGATAATGTCGTGAAGTCAGACATTTTGTTGAAAAAGGAGCGAGCATTGATGAGATAGAATGAGAGAGAGATTTAAGAATGACGGTGAAATCGCACATAGCTTTAAGAACTTTGTTCCCAGGGCTTATAGCATCCGGAGTAGGTTGATTGATAGGTTCTGGCTCAGATGATGGCAACTAACTGGCAGTGCCGGAATAGTTCATATCAGTATCAGCACATAGAGAGGTGCCGTCGTTAGCTACCTTGTGTTGTGTGAAGTGTTCACAATACCGTGACCGGAATGCATCGCCCTACCTTCTGGAGACGAGTGTTTTGACAGTATGTGTTCTATTTACGTCAATATTGAGGATGAGACTCCTTATTGGCTGAGAAAATTTAGATTGGATGAGGGGAAGATGAGTATTTCTTGTGGATAGTATGCTAGAGTAAAGTTAGGTGTGCTGCAGTTATGACATTTTGTGTGTTTAGGTTATTTTTGCAAACATTAGTCCATTGATGATCTTGGGTAGTCCGTATCCGGTGGTTTTCGAGGATGTAGTGAGTCAGAGGGCCACCTTTAGAAAACACGCCTAACCCATTTGTTCCTTGTTGTAGAGCTCTCTGGATCACACTTCCATGTATATTAGCCATAGATAAAAGATATGAGTCGGGGTGGGTGTAAACGTGCCGGTAGAGTTTCGACTTGGTCTTAGGGTCCCCAGAGAAGTGGCGCTTGTTGTGTCTAAGATCCAGAGGAAAAGATTGTTAGTGATAGCCTTCCGGCTATGCCATTCTTATCTATTATGTCAGCTAAATCCCTGAGGTTCAGAGATTTACATGAAGCAATTATTATTTGTTGAGCATTATGTGGTAATGTTTGCAACCATACTTGCTTTAAGACAACTTCATTTGGCTGACATGTTCCTATAAAGTGTCGCGTATGACTAAGAAGCCGAGATGATTTTCTCGTAACTAACACATGTTGTAAGCAATCGTTGTATGCGCTTCTCATCAGACAGACCAGCCGATGTTGTGAAATGTAAGAAATGACTGTGGACATCATATATATCTACCTTTTTTCCACCAAGTTAAAACATCTACGTGGATATAGCAGCAGAAATCAACAATTAAGGGTGAACTATATCGTTGTGAAGTACTGGTTCTCTAACAGAGGCACTAATACTTGGAACTAAGTCCCACAATCATTGGTGTCTACGTTTCCAGTTGAACCATTCAAGAGGGAGGAACACAAACATACATGCTTAAAGCCTCCTAACCTCAATCCAAAATTGTATCGGCACTGTGAAACAGATGTATTTTCCGAAGCTTTCATCACCCTACTGGGTGACATCTTCAGCGCATACTTCAATTTGAAGTGAGCTTTTAGATTTCTCCACGAGTTTATTAATCATCTCTCCTGGCGACCTTGGACGTGATTGGTTGTTTTTGTCTGTTTTCACACCTTCTAGGTTACTTGTATTGTCACTCATTGTTTCTTTGGCTTGAACTTTGACCCTTTGTGTGTGACGTTTCTTTCTTATCGGTTGATAAATTTTGTCTATCTCGATGTGTCTATTGATTGATGATTCACTGGAATGCCAAGCTTCTAAAAATTCTCTAGCATTCTTGTTGTTTCCTCTGTCTAGTATTTGAACGTTGTCCCAGTCGAATTGATGTCCTTGGTTGTCTGTATGTAGTGATATGAGGGAGTGGATATCATGTCTTTTGACAGCTAGCTTATGTTCGTGGATACGAAGACGAAGGGGACGTCCACTTTGGCCAATGTAGTGTTTTTCGCAGTTGATGCAATCTATTTTGTAGATGATGTTGGTTTTATCTTCCTTCGCTGTTGAGTCTTTTGGTTGACATAGAATTGAGTGAAGTGACTTTGTTGGTTTGTGTACGACGTCAATTCCTAAAGGTTTGAAGAGTCTTGTAGTGATTTCTGAGATGCCTTTTATATATGGTAAGGCGATTTTCTTTGTGCTTTCCTTGGGGGCTTTTGGTTTGATAGGTTGGCTTGGAGGTATATTTCTTTTGATGAAATTCCTTGGATATCCATTCTTTTGGAAGACGTCCATGAGATATTTTTCTTCAATTTTCCTTGAGGTGGGAGTGCTGCAATGAGTCCTGGCTCTCTTGAATAGTGTTTGTATGCAATTCCTCTTGTGTGTTATTGGATTGTTGCTGTTGTAATTCAGGATTTGGTCTGTGTGAGTTGATTTTCTATAAACTTGAGTTTCTAATTCCCCTGTCGTTGTTCGCTTGACTAAGACGTCCAAAAATGGGATTTGGTTTTCTGATTCCTCTTCTCTGGTGAATTTGATGTCGTTGAAGACGTTGTTTATCAGGTTGTGAGCTTTATCTAACTCGTTTCTTTTGATAATTACAAATGTGTCGTCTACGTAGCGTATCCAAATCTTGGGTTTGATCTTTGGTAGAATTATGTTCTCGAGCCTTTGCATCACTGCTTCTGCAATCAAACCTGATATTGGCGATCCCATAGGTGTTCCTTTGACTTGTTCATATATTTGGCCGTTGAATTGGAAGTACGTTGTTAGACATAGGTTTATGCATTCCATCCAACTTGTGTGTTGCATTTTTGATTTTTGTGGAAGGTGTTCGTCGTTGCTAAGTAATTGCTCCATGGTTTCTTTTGCTAGTTTTTGTCCGATTGAGGTATACAATGCTGTGACGTCAAAAGATATCATTATCTCTTGTTCATCTATTTGGATGCCTCTGATTTTCTCTAGGAATTGGATAGCGGAGTTGATGGAGTGATCACAAGATTCCGTTAGGTGCTTTAATTTTCTGTATAATTCTTTGGATAAATTGTATGTTGGAGTTCCTGGTAGTGATACAATTGGTCGTAACGGGATATTTGGCTTGTGTATTTTGGGTCTGCCGTAGAATCGGGGTAGGACTGGTCCACTGGATTTCATCCGCCATTGGTCTTGTTTTGTGATTTCTCCTGTTTTGGTAAGCTTGTTTAAAGTCCTTTGGATGCGGTTGTCCAGTGTTTGTATGGGATTTGTTGGGAGTTGTTGATACACATCCTCGTCTTTGAGTAGTTCTTCAGCTTTCTTGGTGTATTCTTCTCTGTCCATGATTACTGTTGTTCTTCCTTTGTCGGCTGGTAGAATGACGATGTCCTTCCTGTTTTTCAGCTTTCTGAGGGCCTTTAGTTCTTGAGAGTTGAGTTGTGTGTGTTGTTTTCTCTGTTTGACCATTGGTACAATTGTTTGGCGTATCTCTTCCTGTGTTTCCTCCTTTAAGTTTGATGATTTTAGTAATGATTCAAGGGCAGCGAAGAAATCAGTTTTTGAGGCATCTCCGGTGTTGTAGTTTAATCCTTTCTGTAGTAGTTGTTGTTCCATTTTTGATAGTGGTTGTTTTGATAGGTTGACTACGCAGTCTATAGGTGTATTGTCTGGTTGTTGTTTTCTAATCTTGGCTAGCTTGGTTTTGAGGACTCTTCGTCTTTGTTCTCTGTGTTTTCTACTTGATAATTGTAATTATCAAAAGAAACGAGTTAGATAAAGCTCACAACCTGATAAACAACGTCTTCAACGACATCAAATTCACCAGAGAAGAGGAATCAGAAAACCAAATCCCATTTTTGGACGTCTTAGTCAAGCGAACAACGACAGGGGAATTAGAAACTCAAGTTTATAGAAAATCAACTCACACAGACCAAATCCTGAATTACAACAGCAACAATCCAATAACACACAAGAGGAATTGCATACAAACACTATTCAAGAGAGCCAGGACTCATTGCAGCACTCCCACCTCAAGGAAAATTGAAGAAAAATATCTCATGGACGTCTTCCAAAAGAATGGATATCCAAGGAATTTCATCAAAAGAAATATACCTCCAAGCCAACCTATCAAACCAAAAGCCCCCAAGGAAAGCACAAAGAAAATCGCCTTACCATATATAAAAGGCATCTCAGAAATCACTACAAGACTCTTCAAACCTTTAGGAATTGACGTCGTACACAAACCAACAAAGTCACTTCACTCAATTCTATGTCAACCAAAAGACTCAACAGCGAAGGAAGATAAAACCAACATCATCTACAAAATAGATTGCATCAACTGCGAAAAACACTACATTGGCCAAAGTGGACGTCCCCTTCGTCTTCGTATCCACGAACATAAGCTAGCTGTCAAAAGACATGATATCCACTCCCTCATATCACTACATACAGACAACCAAGGACATCAATTCGACTGGGACAACGTTCAAATACTAGACAGAGGAAACAACAAGAATGCTAGAGAATTTTTAGAAGCTTGGCATTCCAGTGAATCATCAATCAATAGACACATCGAGATAGACAAAATTTATCAACCGATAAGAAAGAAACGTCACACACAAAGGGTCAAAGTTCAAGCCAAAGAAACAATGAGTGACAATACAAGTAACCTAGAAGGTGTGAAAACAGACAAAAACAACCAATCACGTCCAAGGTCGCCAGGAGAGATGATTAATAAACTCGTGGAGAAATCTAAAAGCTCACTTCAAATTGAAGTATGCGCTGAAGATGTCACCCAGTAGGGTGATGAAAGCTTCGCAAATTAACTATCCAGCTCAGAGAACACAACAACATCAAAATCATCCACCTGAGCTACAAATCTTCTCTATCATGTCTAGATGTATTTTCCGCTAGATACTACGCTCTTCTGTTTATAAGGAAAATCTCCATAATTCTCGGTATAAAGTGACCTGCAAAGCAATAAAAATGTGCCATTTTGGGTCTTATTATACCAAATGCCAGCCAAAATGTTGACCGGATTTGTTTTAATAACAGTCCAGAGGAGGCAAATTCATTTTTCCATCAACAGCCAATAGGATTTTTCCTTTTGCAGAAATTGAATACCTGGCGTTGAAAAAAACTGAGTCGACTCAATTCCTAAAATGTCGGGACAGGGTGATCGGTTTAATATTTTCCCATCAAGAATGTAGGTACCCATTGCAACAAAGCTCACAATTGTCTTGATTTATTTAGGGCCCAAACAGCCATGAAAAGTAGATTGAAAGGTGCCCAGACAGGTCACAGGCTTTTAAAACGGAAGTCTGATGCGTTGACTGTTCGTTTTCGCGGCATACTGAAGCAAATTATCCAGGTACTTATAGAATAATGGCTATATTCACTACCATTAGGCGAAGCAAACAATGGGTGAAGTGATGAAGGAGGCGAATTTTTCACTCGCTAGCGTCAAGTTTACAACAGCAGCAAATATTAATAGTATCGTCCTTCAAAACGTCACCAAAGCTCAGCGAAAGGTTAAAACGGATAAAGAAAATGTTGCTGGTGTTCAGTTGCCAGTATTCAAAGTGTTTGTGGAAGGGTCTGATAGTAAGTTCTATGCACATATGACCCAGCTTGTCGTCATTATTAATGCATGCTTTCTGTAAGGCCACTGTTTTGCTGCAGTGCAATTAACTAAAGCGTCTTCCGTTGTACCAACAGTAAGTTTCGTTGTTGCCTAGTATCGTAAGAGCTGATAGTCCTAGAAACCGGAAGTAATCCTCTAATTCAACCGTAATTTTATGAGACAAAAACAGTCGGCAGCGCAGACTACACGAAGACATTCTATCGGTGGAAGTGTGATTCCTATTTTAGAATCACTTTTCTGAAACCAAGATGTTTGGTGTGCTAACGGAATCACCCGCAGAAGCTTAAATTTACACCATGACTGTGCGAAATAGTGTGGTTCCTAACGTGATTAGCTTCAAATTAACAAGTCCTCCCAAACAGCATATGTTCAACTTGTCGGCTTTTAAAAAGAATTGTCAGCGTTTTCTATATGCTAGGTTCATATCGTATCCTTAAAATTACCACTGGCCGTTCTGATCACGTGGTTAGTATTTCTATTTTCTCTTGATGACTCCAAGGCACATCATTAGGTGATCCTAATTGTCGGCTTATAGCTTCGTGATTTATATCAGCTTGTGTATAAAAGTGAGTGACATTGGTGGACTGAGGTCGGATCGGGGTAGACCTAATTGGAAGTATTGAGTTTGTAAGCCTAGTTGCGCGTAATGTGCAGTCGAGAGTGGGTAAAATGAATTCATTTAACAATATTGAGATTATTCCGTACGGTAAAATTAATGTATGCCCAGCATTCGCTCTTAAAGTGTTCTTGATGACATGGAGGTATTAGCAAAGTGACCCATTTCAATGAAGCTTAATCTTCATTTGTTTGTGGAACTCTACCATTTATTTGAGGATGGAATATAGTGTTAAAACTACAGTTATTGGCAAAATTAAAAATAGTAGGCTTTTGAGTTGCTACTCACAGTCGATTATTATGGAAGATAGATATCTAAAGTCAGCAATTTTGATGTGGTTGTGTTCTCTGAGCTGGATAGTTAATTTGCGAAGCTTTCATCACCCTACTGGGTGACATCTTCAGCGCATACTTCAATTTGAAGTGAGCTTTTAGATTTCCCCACGAGTTTATTAATCATCTCTCCTGGCGACCCAGTAGGGTGATGAAAGCTTCGCAAATTAACTATCCAGCTCAGAGAACACAACCACATCAAAATCATCCACCTGAGCTACAAGTCTTCTCTATCATATCCAAAGTCAGCAATTTCACCTTTTGCTTTTGTTACCCACCACTGTTCACGATCATTGCGAAGACGCTTTGTCAGTCTGCGTTTTGGCCGCTGTCGCTCTTCATTATGTTTGGAGCCCGCTGGAATTCGTCTGCTTGCTTCTACCAGTTTGGATGAGGTTGCAGAAACTCACTGGTATTTTGTAACCTTTGGTTTTAGGTTATCAACAGCCTCTGCCACCGTTTCTACAGCTGACTCGATATTATACCAGGCTTCCTTAGGATGAGTCTTGCTGTTAAATGTGGACACGCGTTTAGCTGCTTCTTCCTTGAATAGGAGCTTAGTGTCCCGATCCAGTTCAAGGGTGTAATGGCTTCATTGCTGTCTTTTTTTTATGTCCGTTCATTTGTATGCATAAACATGCACGAACCAGGGCGTTACCGGAGTCTGCACGCATGTTCCAGAAAAAGCAGCAGTCTTCTACTGACTCTCGTTATCCACAGCTTATAGCTATGTGGTCTCTTTAAAACCACTGTTGATTTGACGATGGAGGTCACCAGATTGGGAAATGTCTCTTTGAGTTTGGGGATAGTGCTGTCAGTGTCATGTATGCAGTTGTTTGTCAGAGACAAAACTAAGGAGGCTGAACTCAAAACATATGGTATGCAGCACAGAAATTTAGAGATTGAGAAGCCACATAGATTGAAATGGCTAGGGCACGTGCTGCACCATCGCCTTCCTCGTTGGACAACGTTAGCTGACACGGTATTAGGTTGTAAAAGATTAAGTGATTGTCAAACTAAATCCTGTCATCATTTTATGAAGTCTTTGACAGTTTTTATTGAGGTACATAAGGAAGTGTAGGCTTCTTGGTTAGGGTGTTACTAACCAGTGGTTTGAGACTGTTGGTGATATGACTCGAAATTGTTTTTAGTGGTATAAATGAATTGATTTCTTGTAACCTCCCAGGTACACTTAGTCGTCAAATTATTTCAAGCTATTGTTTTTTTCTCCGAATTTTTCCTTTTTATGTTTGTGTGTTACATTGGGTGTGGCAACTTGAACTACTTCACTTTGTTGCAAAGTTCTGTGTTGAAACCCAGTCGGTCAGGCTTCAAAGTAGATTATTGACTCCTCTTGACATCTAACAACAAAAAGCAGTTTTTCACATCAAGTGTATATTTTGTGATAAAAAAGCTACTTGTTTTGAAGGTTTTCACTCCAAGATAATTACTTTTCTTAAATATTGTGATAGTAGCGGATTAAATGGTCGATGGTTTAGCTATAGAATGCTCGCTTATGGGATCCGGGGTTCAAATCTTGACCGATGCACTCATGAACCTCGCAAAGACAGTAGTAAGCCCAGTAAAGTTGGGAGATTGGGTATGCGGCTAGCAACCGTATCCTGTAAAAATGAAACCACTGCTACTGAAATTTCAAAGCTGAAACTTGAAGCCCTATGGTCCGGTTGAAGCACAAAGGAATAAAAATAATAATGGGTTATATGACCTTATTGAATTATAGTGTTTTTTTCATAAGTAAAAACCAGTTTTTTGTTCAGCGAAGAAATTTCTTTTCAACGACTTCATTTTCAAGCTGTACAGTCGTATTTATATTACAGAAAAGGTTATTAAGTGGCACTAAATAATTGCTCAGTCAATATACATATATGTGATAGGAATAACGATAATTGAAATGTTATAAGGGGTAGAATTGAAGTGGATAAATTACAAAATTATTAAAGATTGTTTTATAAGTGAATTGAAATCAAAAATGTTTTAAAAATGTCAAGTGTTGTCTAAAAATTTTAAAAAATTAGGAGTACGATTACGATAAGAATGAAGATGTGAAGTGAAGTGGAAAGAATTCAAGTGGTAAAATAAAAACTAGAAAGAACATTACTATGACCAAGGTGAAGAAAGGGGTTTGACAAAACGTTTTTGAACACATAATTTAGGTTTCTGTTCATGTATAGCTAAAGCTTCGGCTATGCATAAGTGAAGAAAACGTAAACTTTTGGAACGATTCGATTTTGCCATGTAGATAACTTTGAAAGGTGAATCACGTGGGGCTAAGTGACCTGACTCTAACAGGTGATCACAAATAGACGACTTCGCAGTTCCACGTTCACCGTTCATTAACCAGACTGGATGGTGTTCAGCTACACGTTTTCGGAGATTACGCTTACAACGTACAATATAATCAGCTCCACAAGAGCAGGTAAAAGATTAAATACACATAGATGTGGACAAAAGCGGTAATCTATCCTTGACGCATTGTCTAATCATATTTCTTCATTATGCATTCTCCTAATTCTTCTCTTGCTTTGTATGCTACATGATTGTGGCGACTTGAACTGCCGCACATATGTGCAAAGTTCTATGTCGAAAACCGACCGACCTAATCATATTTCGGCTGGTAAAAACTAGTTGTAAGTCAGCTGCAGGAAAAGTACGTTTAATACATCTAGATAAACGATTTTTAATCAATTCCGAAATGGTGTCACCTTTGAATGCCAGACTCACGTTTGCGGTGTATTTAATACATAACTGATAATTTCTGTGACATGTACGTGTGTCAATTAATCTTTATTTTCTCTCCTGCTGTTATTCTCTTCTAGCTTACGAGTTGACCGGTCTAGCAGGAGGTGGTCAGCAAATCGATCGATTAAAGAAAAATTACAGTAAAGCTGTGGATCTACTTGTTGAATTGGCATCTCTTCAAACATCATTCATAACACTTGATGATATTATAAAAGCAACGAATCGTCGTGTCAATGCTATTGAATTCGGTAAGTGTGAATGAAATCAGTTTATATTTTGTAATATTAAGTCATTCTTTTTGTTCACTTGTTTAATTGAAATCCTGTCTTTGCTACTTCTATTGTCAGCTTATTGGTTTCCGTCTGTTTGTGTAACATTAGACATAAATCGTGTGTGAAGTTTAACATAAAGAAAACGGAAGTGGTGAAGGTAACCAACCTGCAATAACACCAGCCAGCACCAATCACTATCAACGGAATACATTTGAAAGAAGTTACTTCCTTCACTTATCTAGAAAGCATCATTTCAACGCGTCAAGTGTGTGGATGTCAAAACCAGATTCGTAAAGGCGAGACAGACCTTCATTGCTGTGAAATCGGTTTGGAAATCACTCAACAACACGAATGTTAGGTCAGTCAATTCTTCTATTTATAGATCAGAAACTTGGCACATCATGAAAATCATTCCCAACAGGTTGCAGACTTTAATCAATACCTGCCTTTGCTCCATACTGAAAATCAAATGGTCAGAAAGAATTAATCATAAGAAAGTCGGGGAGAGAACCAACCAGGAACCTATAGCTCAAAATAGGTGATGAAGAAAATGAAGGTGGATCTGACACATGCTGAGGAGACTGTTAGTTACATCGATTGGGACAGTTAGGACATGTGTTACACATGCATGCCTAACCACCGCCTTCCTGAAAGGCAATGTTAGCTGACATAGGGTCAGATTGGAAAAGAGCCAGTGGTGGTCAAACCAAAACCAACGTGGCTTCATCAGTCAACGAAATCCACAACAGTTAGTTTAAGACACGTAAGAAGATGTAGACTTCCTGGTTTGGGTCCTCGGGACGGTAAAAACCAGTGGCTTGAGACAATTGGTGACATGGCTCAAAATCGTTCTCAATGGCTCGCACAGATGCATCCACTCCTTGTGACTTGTAATTTCTAATAAAACTATATTTTTCTTCGATATTACTATTCTTTTTGCCTCATATCTCTGTGTTTGTCTCTGTTTTGCGTTTCTTTTTACTTTCATCTCTTGCTTTGTGTGCTGAGGGAAGTGTGGCGACTTGAACTGCTGCACACGGGTGCAAAGTTCTAGGTTGAAACCAGACAGACTGTTAGGTGACATCGCAGTCAATGTAGGCCATCGCTTGAATCGCCTCCTCGAAAGCTGCACAAAAAGAAACTTACGAAAAGTCTCCGCAAGGACCGTGAACAGTGGTGGTTGACAAAGGCGAAAGAGATGGAAAAAGCATCGGCGATAGGCAACACTAGGCAACTCTTTAGACTCATCAGGGAAACAGGTGGTAAAAGGCAAATGATCAGCGAAACAATCTCTGCGAAAAATGGCACCATAATTAGCTCCCAGGATAGACGTCTGGAGCGCTGGAAAGAACACTATGAGGAGCAGTTTAATTGGCCCACAGCCACACTTAAACTGCCGGACATCCAACACCTCCCTGAATGGTATGTAGAAACAGGTCCTCCGTCCTTAACTGAGGTTACTAAAGCTGTCACTAATCTGAAGCAAGGCAAAGCAGCGGGACCTGATGGATTGACTCCAGAGGTATTTAAGTACGGTGGAGACAGTCTACTGTCCGCGTTAACTGAGGTTCTAGGCAGCGTCTGGGAATCAGAGGAAGTTCCATCGGGTTGGTGATCATTCCGGTATACAAGAAGGGAGACAAGTCTTCTTGTGATAATCACAGAGGGATTAGCTTGACTAATATAGTATCTAAAATCCTAGGCTCAATAATACTGCGTAGACTAAGTGGTGCTCGGGAGGCACAAACACGAGAAAACCAGGCAGGTTTTAGGCCAGGTAGAGGGTGTATTGATCATATCTTCACCCTTCGACAGATTCTAGAACATAGGCATTCCTACCGGCGTCCGACAATCATTATATTTCTTGACCTAAAGGCGGCATTCGATTCTGTCGACCGGGAGGTTCTCTGGCGATGCTTGGCTGTAAAGGGAATGCCAAGAAAATACATTGCACTGATTAAGGCACTCTACTCGTACCCATGCATCCAGGTGAGGGCTTATGGCGAGTTGTCATCTGAATTGGCGTCCGTCAAGGATGCCCATTATCCCCATTCCTATTCAACTTCATCATAGACGTACTAATGGGCTTAACCCTAACACACTTCAGCGACTCAGGGATTGACTTGCTACCAGGGAAGAATCTCGTTGACTTAGAATATGCAGACGATATAGTCCTTCTAGGCGAGGACTCTGACAAAATGCAGAGTCTACTGAACACCTTGAGCTGCAATCTAAGAATGTTTGGCATGCGATTCGCCCCTGTAAAATGTAAGATGATGCTGCAGGATTGGACTACACCGACCCCTATATTAGAAATAGGAAGTGAAGTGGTAGAACACGTTGACCGCTTCAATTACTTGGGAAGTACCATCAGCCCCAACGGGTTGATCTCAGACGAAATTTCAGCACGAATACAGAGGGCTAGGTTCGCATACGCCAGTTTTCGCCGTCTCTGGCGTAGACGCGATATACGACTATCGACCAAAGGGCGCGTGTACTGCTCAACAGTCCGCTCCGTCCTCCTTTCTGGCTGTGAGACCTGGCCATTGAGAGCAGAACACATGAAAAGATTAGCTGTCTTCGATCATAGGTGTCTGCGTTCTATCGCCCGGGTGAAGTGGTATAATAAGGTCAGCAATATTGAGGTTAGGCGTCGAGTGCTAGGTAAGTTGGGGAAATCAATCGGCGAGACTGTGAAATAACATCGACTGAGATGGTTAGGACATGTGCTACGTAAGCCTAGTCATCGCCTTCCTCGACGGGCAATGTTAGCTGATATAGGGTCAGGCTGGAAAAGAGCTAGCGGAGGTCAAACCAAAACATGGCACCAGTCAATGAAATCCACAACAGTTAGTCTAAGCCACGTAAGAAGATGTAGACTTCCTGGTTGGGGTCCTCGGGACGGTAAAAATCAATGGTTGGGGACAATTGGTGATATGACTCAAAATCGTTCTCAGTGGTGCAGATGCATCCACTCCTTGTGACTTATGATTTCCAATGAAACTGTTTTGTTCTTCGTTATTACTATTCCTTTGCATCTCACCTCTGTTTACTGTCTGTGTTATGCATTTCTCCTACTTTCTTCTCTTGCTTTGTGTGCTACATGGAGTGTGGCGACTTGAACTGCCGCACATGTGTGCAAAGTTCTATGTCGAAAACCGACCGACCGACCGACCATCGCTTGAATCGAGACCGAATTGGAAACGATAATTTGGGCATGTGTCTGAGGGCGACATGTAGGTGATCATGTGAGTTGAGAGCTTATGGACAACCGTTGAGTCAGCTAAAGTTTTGTAGGGATAACAGGGGAAAATGGAGATGTGCTGTTGAAGCCCTGTTTTCCATTCATAGTGGCAGCGTAGTTAGTTTGCTGATCGTCCCAGAAAGATACTTTACTAAACAGCATTACAACTTTGCCCTGAGACCCTCCAACATGTTATGAGCGACTTACAGTATAATGATAACTTCTTTTAGGTTAACCGCTATCCAAACAATCATCCTGGCATGGTAGGACCTGGGAGAGCATTTGTTCCAGCCAATTTAGCTCATTAGGTGTTTGCAATATGCAAGCCCGACCAGTACATGAAGATAGCAGCTATCGGTCGGGATAAGGAAGGAGTATTACAACTAATCGACCTCATTGTGTAAGAATGCACTTATTAATTCAGTAATTGTATCTGTTGTAGTTAATCACGCAATATCTCATACATAATGTTCTCTTTCTGCTTCTTGTCTTGGAAACTATCAGTCACTAGTGACCGGAGATTTTAATTCCTCTGATTTCTCTTCCCTTGAATCACTAAATCATATAAACATCGTCAACTTCGTTACTCGACTTGACAAAACACTGGATCTGATGTTCACAGATGATAATGGAATATATAAAGCACACACAGGCATGCCCCAATATTAAAATCTGATTATTGCATTATACAAGTGTTGTCTAAAATATATAATGAATGGTAAACAGGTGTCTTCTGTCACCTTTCCGGGAAAAGTTAACTGTGATGTTACTGAGCAATATAATCTTAATTGCATGTTAAAGGACAGTAACTTCTTTTTTTATTCCTTTACGTTCCCAGTGGAACATAGGGCTTCAAGCTAGAGGTTTGAAGTTTCTGTAGCGTTGGTGTTTATTTTTACGGGATAGAGTTGCTAGCCTCATGCCCAACCTTCCCTCTTTACCAGTGTTATTATTGGCTTAGCGAGGTTTGGGAGTGCGTCGGTGGTCGGGGATCGAACCCCGAACCACATGAGGCGTGGTTGGCGAGCATTCTACTGCTGTGCTACCGACGTACAAAGGACAGTAACTGGGACCTATTTACTAAACATTACACTAGATGATACAGCCAATAACATAACTGGAGGCTTTTAACGAAATTACTGGTGGTAAGTGAAGTATTACCGTCCCTCCTTTTGATGTAGATACTTTGAATAAGTTTTTCATACGCTGTCCAGCTGATGTTATCATTCCCAATGTTACAAATCATAAGGATAACAACTTTCATAGTTTTAACACTCTTGATGTTTTCAAGTGGCTCAAAATATTCTCAAAGCCTGGGTCCTGATGGTGTATCTGTTTTTGTCCTCAGGAAGATGTGCACATTATTTTATGTAGTCTTCTTACGAACATTTTCAATACTTATTTTTCCCCGTAATGTTATACCCATTGCATGGAAGGACATTAGAATTATCCCGACACCTAAATCATGTACTTCTTCTTTTTCAAGATTAGTGGAAAAAACTACATTTATACTTGACATTGAATCTTTCTTGAAAAGTTGTAATGATCCTAAACAGTTTGCATACAACACAGGGTAGATGTACTTCAGAGGCTGTTGCTGTCTTGCATCATAATATGATGTTTATGTGATATACGCTATAAATAAACACAAATTCCTATACTGTAACTTGCAAAGTACTTCTATTACGGGTAAGATTTATTTTGATAAAGTCTCAGTGTTATACAATAATATTTACTGATGAACACTTTTCGAGCACAATTTATTGCCGCTCATAATCATATTAAGTCACTCACACAACTTCCTAGCTTCATTCATATAATTCTATTATTTTCTATCGCTTGGTTTGATTGGTAGTAGTATTTTCCATATTTCCGGTATGAGTGATGAGTCATTCCTATTGCATATGTTGGGTGTAGACTCGATGAACAAGGGTTCTGTCTGTGTGTCTGTTTTCGACATAGAACTATGCACACATGTGCGGCAGTTCAAGTCGCCACACTCCATGTAGCACACAAAGCAAGAGAAGAAAGTAGGAGAAATGCATAATATAGGTAGTAAACAGAGGTGTGAGAAAGGAATAGTGATAACGAAGAACAAAACTGTTTAATTGGAAATCATAAGTCACAAGGAGTGGATGCATCTGCACCACTGAGAACGATTTTGAGTCATATCACCAATCGTTTCCAACCATTGGTTTTTACCGTCCCGAGGACCCCAACCAGGAAGTCTACATCTTCTTACGTGGCTTAGACTAACTGTTGTGGATTTCATTGACTGGTGCCATGTTTTGGTTTGACCTCTGCTAGCTCTTTTCCAGCCTGACCCTATATCAGCTAACATTGCCTGTCGAGGAAGGCGATGACTAGGCTTACGTAACACATGTCCTAACCATCTCAGTCGATGTTATTTCACAGCCTCGTCGACAAGGGTTCAGTAATCAACTTCTCTCTTCACCTACCAGATTACTTTTTAGAATTTTAACGAAGAATTATGTAAACGAAGTTAGAAAGTTATGTGAGTACCTTGATGTGATTATGAGCAATAAATTGTGCTCGAAAAGTGGTCATCAGTGAATATTACTGTATAACACTGAGACTTTATCAAAATAAATTTTACCCATAATGGAATTATACTCTACCACAGTGCACAAGTTTTATTCTTATATCAATGTTGCAAAGCACTTGTTCTACTGAAATTAGAGACGAATCAAAACATTGGACTGATCGTCCAAAATACGAGATATATTTCAGGATCAGAAACGTTGAGTGGTAATAATTGTTTAGCCAGCTACAGATGGAATGTAACACGACAGTGCCAAACGGCATGGATGCTTAACTGTAAACAAGTTGACTTAAACAGCAAAGATCGCCATCCAATATTGAATGAATAATGCTGTTGGCTAATAATTCTGAGGAGCTATTTGCTACTAAAATATAAAGCTGTATGTTTAGAGTTTATTCACTTCTTCTACCCATCATATGTATATATTCAATGCTTTATTCTTATGACGTATTTTGGATGTTTTGGTGTGTTATTTTCTAGTTATTATACCGAAAATTGAACGTACACTGAATTATATTACACAAGAATTAGATGAACGTGAGAGAGAAGAATTTTACAGGTCAGTAAATTTAATGTAATTCTCATGTTGACTTTATCATAACTGGCATTTTTTATTTTATAGACAGACATTCAGTGCTTATCTTTATTATTCCCTTGGATTCCAAGTGGAACATAATGATTCAACAACACATCTCCTGTTTCTTGTAGTCCCTTCAGCTGGCTTCACTATTGTCCTTAGGCTCTCATCTCCTCCATGTCACTCTTGGACACATGTTCAAATTGCCGCTTCCCATTTGGGTTCCATTCGAGCAATGGCTTGGCGCACAACGTCATCCAACAATCTGTTCAGTGTGTGTCTGATCCATTTCAATTTTCTTCGGCATACTTGTTGAGCAATAGTTTTCTGGTTGGTTTGTTTCCAAAGTTTCTTGTCGCTAATGCTCTCTGGCCATTTCATCCTCAATTTATGGAGTGAAGACAGCTGCTCATAAAAGTATGAAACCTTTTGGGAATGCTTTTCGTGACGCTCTAAGTTTCTCACTTATATGGTAGAATTGACTTGACATTGGTGTTGGAAACCTGAGTTTTGTTCTTTATGCTGAGTTCAGAAGATTGCCAAACTGATTTCAGGGTGGGTGATGAAGGTCTGTTTCGCCTTTCCGATCCAACCTGGTTTTGAAATCCTCATCCACGCTGTCACTTGTAGTTGAAACGATACTGCATGGTGAGATAAGTGAAGGAAGTGACGTCTTTCAAATTTCTTCCGTGGAAAGTGATTGATACTGGTTGTTGTTGGCGATGTTGGTTATCTTCATCACCTCCATCATCTTTGTGTTCACTTGAAGTCCTGTCTTTATTGCCAGCCTGTTCTGCCAACTTGTTGGCTTCTGCCTGTAAGTAAGTAAGTGTTCTAGTGAGTATGGCATTAGACATAAATCCTGTATGAAGTTTAGATCTTTTAAAGTTTTCTTTTTGGTCTAAAGTATTCCTGTCTTTTCGCTCCCCATGCACGATGTTCTTCGTAATTGAGTCTATCCCAACTAGGAATATCATTGGTAATAGTAGACAGCCTTGTCTAACTCCTGTCTTAACTTGAAAGGCTTCACTGAGTTTCCCGTTGTGGATCAACTGACACGTTAGGATGTGCAGTAGATAAAACAATCTCATAATTGGCGAATCGTAGAGTGAGTTAAAGAGGTGATGTTATGATGCCCTAGATAAGGGATACTTCCTGATTGGTTGATTTATAGTCGGAATGAAGTTAGAGATCTTAATTACTCGTTAACGAGTATATTCAAAAGAGCTTCTGCACTAATATATATATATATATATTTCAGATGTCTCCCCAAAAACTTCCTCCTCACATGACCCACCCACGCCCAACTGTCTCCTTCTCATCCCGGTTCCACTTGACGAATCTCATCAACGTATATTCACAAACCACATCCATATTCTCTATATTTATTGGGCAGTTGAGTTGTTGGCTAATTTTCTGCTTGTCACAGTTCCTTATTGCTTATTCTTTCCGGCGTTTCCTTTGATCTTCGGTATCGAGCGAAGGCAAGTAATAATCACAGTTTGCAACGTATTTGGAAATGCATTTGATGAAGAGAGACGAAACAGTATTATTATTATTACACTGATTACCGTAACTCTCAGGTTGATGATACCTAGAGAGAAAGTTTCTCACTGACGAGTGCACTAAAAGTTTTCAAGATCTAGCTTGTAGGGATTTGATTTACTTCAAGCCTGATTATGGATTGTTATCACTTGGATAACCATTGAAAACCGTTAGGGAGTCCTGGCTAGGTGTTTCGTCCTAGTTTGGAACTCGTCGTTGGTGCGTACCCACCGGGGTTCGAATCCAGGACTTTCCAGTTACAAGTCAAGCTCGTATACCATTTTTTCAGCTACTTAGTTCCAATCCAATGGCTATTCCATGAATTTCAAGCTCTGCCGATTCGTGATTCTAGCGTGACCACTGGTCAGTGTGATCAACTAGCATTTATCCTCCTCATGCCTAACTTGGTGTATCTCATTTGTTGGATGTCTGGCCCCATTCAAAAAGACGTATGAACAGAACTCCGGTCACCGGCTGCCAATGGATAGTGGACTCCCTACTCCACTCCTACTGCCTTGTAGGTCACACTTGGTTGTGTAAAGGCTAGAGCTGCACTCTCAAACAAAAGGCCGAGCGATTCTGGGGACATCACTCGTACCAAATTCCCATGAAAATTCATGAACTCTCTTAGATGTTCATGAAGCCGGCTCATGCTCCCTTAGGAGATAGCCGAAGTAAAGTAAAAAAGTAAGGTGTATCTCACTGACCAGAACTTCTCACTAGAAAGAGCTCAAAGCAACTTCATCCAGTAGGCAGTCATTAGACAGTATCATATTAATTTTCAAGAGTTAGTGAGTTTACGAGGTCGCCTTGTAAACGGAAGGTACTGAGTCAGGATCCTTGTGGGTACGTACTGCCGATGAGTCCCACGCCGGGACGAAGTAACTGTCTAGCACTCCCTGGTGGTTTTTAATGACTCTCTAACTGATTCCAATCCGTGGTCAAACTTGAAATAAATCAAATCCCTACAAACTAATTCTTGAAAATTAATCTGATGCTTTCTGGTGAGTGACTGGCTACAGGATGAAGGTGCCTGGAGTTCTAATGAGATGTCGCGACCTGAGGGGTCCGGCCGGTTGGGAATTCAGAGAGGTCCAAAAACAGATAATGCAGTGCATTGAACTATATCTATCAGCGGTATGTTTGAATAAGTCGAGATGTCGCCCATTGACTTTCAGTCATTCAACAGGTCCCAGGTTCGAATCCCACTCCACCTACTGCAATCCCCCCTAACAAGTGAGTAGTAATAGCAAGTCTCATTTATTAAGTGTGTTTCTCAGCTTGATACACTGCGAGGCTGTGAACTTATTCGTCTTGGCAGTTAACTTCCACTGAGATTTGGGCAGCTTCAGGTATTTATTTATTTATTTACTGATTAGTTTATTGATTTATTGATTCATTTATCTATTTTTTAATTTTTTTTAAATAGATTGAAAAAAGTCCAGGAGAAAAAGAAACGTAATCGTGCCTTGAAAGAATCTGAATTAAAAGCTAAAGGCTTCCAGTTAGCTTCAGCAGATCATGCACCGAATATTCTTAACCAAGATGACGATGAAGGGCAAATCCTTTTTTAAAAGTTATGCAACAATTTGCACAGAATTAGACCGATCACGTTTCAACATTACAATCGATCCATTTTTGGATCAAATATTAATGCATAATATAATTATATTTGTATAGACCAGTTAGCCACTACACTGTTTTGGTATATATATATATATATATATATATATATATATATGGATTAGCTGTGTTATCCTTTCTACTCCCTTATGTTATTTAAAGTTACGTAATAACTTTTGACAGAAAAGCTGATTTCCTTTACTTTTTTTTAAACATATATATGCATAATATTTAATTTTTGGGTGATTTTGTGTGTGTTTATTGCTTCAAAGTGACCATAGAAAGCGGATACTACTCAAAATAAAAGATATTTCAATTATTAGCTTTCTTTTCTTTTTCTGTATTTCTTTGTAACTTTGAGTGTATAGTAGTTATTGATGAGTCAAGGCTTCTGTTTAGTAGTGCTTAGAATTGAAGTTTGCTATGCTAAGGTTTATAAATCAAGCTATCCTATATGGGGCATCATAGCAGCTTGATAACTAGACAAAGATTGAACGCTGTTGTGGTTAAAAAGACTTTTTACGCAGCTAATATCATAATAATTGAGAATGTGAAGCCAATATATCCATCCATCAAAGCCCTTTGAACATGCGAAAAGTGATGTCACATCCCACTGTATTTACGAATATGAATGTACGTGAGGGCTGGCTTCAGAGCATATTCCTAAATGGCTCCGAAAGTAAACAGAATCTTCGAAACCCATTAATGGTGAGAACAGGAGACCTAGCTCCTCTATTGCAAAACATATTATAGAGACGGGACATAAAATTGACATTAACACACCTTTTAAACCTATCTATAAAACGTGTTTGGGGCGTATCCTAAAGTTTGTGGAAGCCCTGGCTAGCGATTAGCAAGTTTAAACCACCTTTATGCGGGCAAAGCAACAATTCGTCATCACACTAAGCCTTCCTTGGTAAATTGTGTTTTGATACCATAGTAGATGTACTACTACTTCTGTTATTTAGTTTAGTGATCATTGTTATTTTGACCTTGAATATGTCCTTTTAACTTGAACTAAATCTATTTTCTCACCTCTTAACTCTTTATTAATTTCATATATGTATCTTTTCTATGACAAGTCCGTATGTGATCAGGATGTTCGAAATTTGTTGTGCGCAAATACAACATTACACGATTCAGACAAATTACATCATCTTATTGCTTTATCTAAATTATGACTATTTTTTTTCCTTCACGTTCCCCAGTGGGACATAGGGCTTCAAGCTAGTGGCTTGAAGTTTCTTTAGCAGTATTTATTTTTACAGGATGAGGTTGCTAGCCTCATGCCCAACCTTTCCTCTTTACCAGCTTTATTTCTGGCTTAACAAGGTAAAGGAGTGCGTCGGCCGGGGATCAAACGCCGGACCATATGCATGGTCGGCGAGCGTCTTAACTGCTATGCCACCGACGCTAAATTATGATTATACAAACATAATATTCTAGAATAATCGCCGTTTGGATATGATAGAGAAGATTTGTAGCTCAGGTGGATGATTTTGATGTGGTTGTGTTCTCTGAGCTGGATAGTTAATTTGCGAAGCTTTCATCGCCCTACTAGACGACATCTTCAGTGCATACTTCAATTTGAAGTGAGCTTTTAGATTTCTACACGAGTTTATCAGTCATCTCTCCTGGTGACCTTGGACGTGATTGGTTGTTTTTGTGTGTTTTCACACCTTCTAGGTTATTTGTATTGTAACTCATTGTTTCTTTGACTTGAACTTTGACCCTTTGTGTGTGAGGTTTCTTTCTTATCGGTTGATAAATTTTGTCAATCTCGATGTGTCTACTGATTGATGATTCACTGGAATGCCAAGCCTCTAAAAATTCTCTAGCATTCTTGTTGTTTCCTCTGTCTAATATCTAAACGTTGTCGTAGACGAATTGATGTCTGTGGTTGTCTGCATGTAGTGATATGAAGGAGTGGTTGTCATATCTTTTAACGGCTAGCTTATGTTCCTGGATACGAAGTTGAAGGGGACGTCCACTTTGGCCAATGTAGTGTTTTTCGCAGTTGATACAATCTATCTTGTAGATGATGTTGGTTTTATCTTCCTTCGCTGTTGAGTCTTTTGGTTGACATAGAATTGAGTGAAGTGACTTTGTTGGTTTGTGTGTGACGTCAGTTCCTAAAGGTTTGAAGAGTCTTGCAGTGATTTCTGAGATATCCTTTATATATGGTAAGGCGACTTTCTTTGTGCTTTCCTTGGGGGCTTTTGGTTTGATAGATTGGCTTGGGGGTATATGTCTTTTGATGAAATTCCGTTCTTTTGGAAGACGTCCATGAGATATCTTTCTTCAATTTTCCTTGAGGTGAGAGTGCTGCAATGAGTCCCGGCTCTCTTGAATAGTGTTTGTATGCAATTCCTCTTGTGTGCTATTGGATTGTTGCTGTTGTAATTCAGGATGTGGTCTGTGTGAGCGTCCGAATCAGCTTCTTTTGGATGCACAAGTTGTTGGGCTTATTCATGTAGATTCCGACGGCTTCAGCAATATATAACACAGACGAAATTGTAAGTTAGAATTACGGTTAGTTGGAATGCGGCAGATAACTGTGAAAGCTTTGTCAACGTCATTTTTGTGTTCAGTATCCTTGGAGATGACATAGAACAGAGCAGTGGATGGAGTTTGTTTGTCGTTTGCTTAACCACACGGAATGATGTTCAAAAATCCGACGATAAACACGCCTATGTAGCTGGCTCCACAGAAGCAGTTAAACTGACAGATACGTAGAGAAGGGGTAAAATTAGGTAGTTCTTCCTTAACTTCCGAGCGTAAAATGGGATGGTTTTGAAGAGATAGCATACTTCAACGGCAGTGAATGCTCTTTTTGTCGCATTCCTGAAGCGTAGTGTTGTTATTTCACTGATGTTATCACTGAAGAGCTGGAGTTTCAAGAACAAGGTCTTTTTGCAGGACTGCGGGTAATTTAGCTTCACGTTCATATTTTTGTCAATGAATTTCTTCAGGTAATCATTATCATCCAGTAATTCTTCAATAATATTGAACTCTTCATTGAGACATTCATAAGAGCAGATTGATTTGTGAACCAAATACTGTTAAATTTCGTTTAAATTTCAATGGTACAGAGCTCAACAAATGAGTATACTGACCAGTCTGTGTAGGTTTTCTATATACACTCTTTCTTATTGTGCCATCCTATTCTGTAGTCATAGGGACATCTATTATAGATAAGTTCATTTTAATAATCTCACAGTGATGCAGTACTAACAACTGGATGACGTTTCGAGCATAAATTATTGCTTATAATCTTATCAGTTTATTCACACGTTTTCACAATTTGTCTTATATATATTTTGGTAGACCATTAAGCTACTGGGACTCGATCCAGTGACGCATTTCTAGTGGGAAGCCGTGACCAGTAGGGTACAGCAGGTTGAAAGTAAGGCACTAACTCATCTAAGAATGCATTGCGAAGTGGTTGCGCTATATCATGAATTGGCAGAAGTTAGAACTCATGGGCCATTAGATTGGGTTCCAGTGGCTTTTATGATTTACCAGCTCGCCCTGTAACTAGAAGGTCCTGGGTTTGAACCCTGGCGGTGGGTGCGTACTGATGAAGAGTCCCAAGCCAGGCGGACGAAACAGCTGCTTCAGTGCTGCCTGCAGTTTTTCCAATGGTTCTCTAACTGATGTCAGCTCATGACGAAATCCTCCAACCAATCAAACAGAAATTGCTACAAAAACCAGTACTTATATATATTTTCTCTTTTTCTGTCTCTCCAACTTTCCTTTGTTGTTTGTTAGCACTTTCCATATCGCCGGTAAAGGCGTTGCGTCATTCCGATTGCACATGTGAGGTGTTGAATCGATAAACAAAGCTTCAGTGAATAACCTCTCTCCCCGCCTAACTATATTACTTTTTAGTACTCTCACCCTATTTTGTGATTACAAGCAAGTGAATGCGGTGCAGTGCAATGACTGGGCTTTTTTCTAGGTCTAGCTAAATTTCTGTTCCGATAATCTAACTGACCCCGATTTACTAGTTTCACCTGTGTAATTTACGTCACAATTGTTACATGGTATTCGGTAAATTATATTACTTTTCTTAATTGGTTATTTTGGGTCCTTAACAAGAAAAAGTTTATCTCTGAGAGAGTTAGTTAGTTGGTTTAAATGCCACCCCGACTAAATCTAACTTCATTGAGAATTCTACGTAAGGCCTCTGTTATTCCTTCTTTATACAGCAGTGCTACAGAGGCTTTGAATTCTATATTATTTCCATCACTTTTATTGCTAGTCTTCGTTTTCTTATGGTTCTTCATATATTTCTGAATAAATTCTGGGGTGGGTGGGAGGGTGGTAGTTATACACTAGTAATGTGGTGAGAGCTGTCTGCAAGCCGAAAATTGTAGACAACAATTTACGTCAATGTTTACGTCCTGAATCGGTGTCATTAGAAAAAAAACAATAACAAAACAATAACTCACCAACCAATCACAGCGGACTTAGCGTGCGCAGATACGATTCGCAGATATATGGCCTAACTTTCTAAGAAACGGTCACAAGTAGTACAGAATGACCTTCAGCAGCAAAACAACCAATCAGAAGATGTTGCTTCTCTACCAACAATAACGCTAATGATAGTGTACAAAATATCTATGTGTATTTCTTGATTTTCTCAATAAACTATCCGTTGCCTGGCCCTTGTCTTCTGTCGTTACAGTAATATTTCCTTCATTTGTTCGACTTCGTCATTTAAATCTTCCGGCTAACTAGTTAGGCTCTTAGCCCGATTATAAAGACATTTAACTTAACCTATCTTTACCTATTCTGGATGGGATGAATTAAAGTCTAAGTATTTTTTATTAGAGCGTGTCAGACGTGTGTGTAGGGACGTCTACGAATGCGATACTAGAATTTCTTTCTGTGTAGTAAAACTTATTGCAGGATGAACATCGTTAAATTTGTTAAGGACATTCTTTGTTTCATTCTCATTTCTCATAATTTCACAATATGTCATCCATGTAACTACAATAGTTCACTAATTACATTTTTCAAAAGCAGGTTGATTCTCACTATAAAAAAGGTATTTTGTATTTTCCAATGAATGAAAAACAAAACGATATTGTTTTTATTGGTGTTTCACTATTTAATGCTGCTAATAGCTTTATCAAAGTATTATTAAACCAGAATTTACAAAATCTCAGCTTGCATATAACAACTTCATCGTCGTTCCTCAGCATGGGGGTAATTTTTGCGTTGTCACGTTCGCCAATCGGTAAAGGTAACAAAACCAAGTGTAGATTGTTGGATTTGATAAGTGTATACGATTATAAAAGCAGCGTGTGTTTA